TGTCGTGTGTGTGTGTGTGTGGTGGTGTGTGTGTGTGTGTGTGTGTGTGTGTGTGTGTGTTGTGTGTGTGTGTGTGTGTGTGTGTGTGTGTGTGCGTGTGTGTGTGTGTCTGCGCGCGCGCGTTTGCGTACGCGCGTGTGTGATAAAACGAGAGAGCAAGCGTGTAAAGACGAGAAAGAGAGAGCGCGCGAGAGAGCGAGGAGGCAAAGAGCAGAGAGCGAGAGAGCAAGAGAGAGATAGAGCACGTTACTAATTATAAGACAACAATAGACAGACATGGGCTGCGAATGATGTTGGGAAGAAAATGAAGGGAGGACGGGCATAGCACAGCGGAGCGAACGCATGTATTATTCACAGTGCAATCGATAATAAAGGAACGCTTGGCGTAAAAAGATATAAATTATAAAAGAATGCTTTTGATTTGGCACATACAACATTCATGGTGGCTTGTAGGTGCTGTAGAACTATCACCGAAACGAACTGGAAATCTCAACTAGAGCTTCTGTATATCCGCATGATGTCCGAATTCCGTACTGTTACTTGATTTTCTTGCCCTGTAATTTACTTGTAATAAAAGTGCGAACAGACCCTATATAGTACACATATCGCGTTACAAAAACGAGCTAGCGAAATAATGATTGGGAAATGACTTTTGAAAATTGGAACGTAACTCAACTTGTCGATGATACAGCATTTTCTGTCTTTGGGCGCAACAGAAGAATGGTTCAGAAGTAACAGTGCTACGTGAACATTTAGCGGCGCATTTAGAAATATAGAAGACTATAGCTATTACAGAGAATGGGCTTTTGTAGGACAGCGGTTACATTGTGGTAGTGGAAGATACACTCATGCAGGGCATAGGAAACGCCATATTATATACGCCAACGTCCAAGTCGTAACAAATTTATAAATCACTAAAAATTTTACAAGTCATTGACAAATTTAATGTGCTTTGCTCGATATTTGCGTTCATCTCAATGCATATGTTATCATGAACATATTTATAAATTGTAGAAATCGATTCATGACGCTATCAACACATTTAAGCATTGTCCTATCCGGTGCGGCCGCCATATTGATTTCTCGGGGTTTATAAATAGCTTCCTTAGTCAAGCGCACCCGTAACTACGTGGAACCGTATACTGCGTTGGTACTTCGTTACACCGTCCTCACTGCAAGCACGCACGCATGCACACGCATGCGCACACTCGCATGCACGAACGAACACACGCTCCCACGCACTCATGCACGCAAAGAGCGAGCGCACACGCACACGCATGCACGCACGCAACCCTAACCCGAACTCATGTATGAAGGCTCCCACGAATGCACGCACATACGCACGCACACACAGCAGGTCGGATAGTTGAATTAAGGCGGGAGCACGCCTAGACTTTTTTACGCGGACCTTCCCGAAATATTCACAGATTATCGATCCATTTCCGCGAGGCGAAGCGTGTGTACCGGTTAGTATTTCCATGTAATTCTTGAATCCAGTCTCCTTTAGCGCTAGTTTCTTTTTAGTCTCCTTTAGCGCTAGTAGCGCGATGTATCCACTACGCCCATATCCCATCCAACTTCTTGGTGCCGGTAACATTGGAATAGCACGATCCATAATATCATTATACTAGCGCTTCACACATCGCGTGGGTCCGAATAGTGAATAGAAATGACATTGTAAGATCGTAGCCAAACGTTGCTATATATTGAACGGTTAGACTATTTTATGTCATATATATATGTATATATATTAGACACAATATATTATATATTACGACGTTTCACCGAGGCTAAGAAATTACACGAATGACAAATACACAGCTATATTATGTACACACACACACATACACTCACACACACACACACACACACACACACACACACACACACACACACACACACACACACACACACACACACACACAGATGACTTTCTTCTCTATGTCGTTCGCGTAATTTTTTTGCGGCAGTGACACGTCTTAATTGGCTGTACATTGTACCTGTACATTGAGCTCAATTACCCTTCCAAAATAGCATTACCACACTACACAGACATGAAGTATTTCTCACACATCTCTTTCATTACACGCGTTCAAAAACTAATATGAAGAGTCTAGACGTGGCGCATGAATCAAGTCAAAACGTTTCAGATCGCCCTAAAACCCAAACTTTTATTAGCACTGTTTCACAGCAAAAATCCACCGTTCTAGTGTCCTTTTATGTGCGTTTAATGTTACATGAATTTTATTGACTTCCCGAAAGTCCTCTTACGTACGTCTATGGGTTTCCCCTGGGCGGCTCAGATTCTCTGCCGCTTTAGACGAGTGCAAATCAACCATAAAAATGTCATTGCCGGCGGCAGGAAAAGCGACACTACTCCGAAATCGCGCCCCTGCTTACTGTCAGGTTGGTTTATGCTCAACCTTTTTCGTACACGTCCTTCGTCCACATATTCCTTCAGTGACAATTATATCGTGACACTCGGCTAACGTTTCGTCTTGTGCATGCATTCGGGTATAAAATCGATGAGAATACACTCTATTTCACACTGGCACGTACTCTTCTATGTATGCATATACTATCAGGAGTAAGATAATATAGGATCCTATATTATCTTACTCCTGATACTATGTGGGTACTGATTACCACATACTGTGCACTATTGTGAACTATGATAGTAACACAATGTGCAAATAGTTCACATTTACCCCTTACGTAAACAATGAGTTCAATGTAAACTTTTAAATGTAGAAAATGACCATGAATGAACTTGAGTTAGCAATGAACTGGACAATGTCAATGACAATGACAATGACAATGACAATGACAGTGACAATTGCAATGATAATGACAATGCCAATTGCAACAATAATGACAATGACAATAATAATGATAATGTAAATGACAATGTAACTCACTATGAATATGAACAAGACCATTGAACGATAATACGAAAGATGTGTAATTAGAAGCTTACATGTTCCATACGGCGGTAACCGTGTTTTACATTCACTTTGAAGCTGTCATACTTCAGGCATTGAACTCCACTTTGTCCATGATTAATCCTATGCTTTATTTTGAGGGCTACTAGCCATCCTGCTAACCTCGGACATCTTTTCGATCGTGTTCGACGCTCTATCGTCTGTCCATTCGTCCGCCCGTCTGTCCATTCGTCCGCCCGTCTGTCCATTCGTCCGCCCGTCTGTCCATTCGTCCGTCCGTCTGTCCATTCGTCCCCCGTCTGTCCATTCGTCCGCCCGTCTGTCTATTCATCCGCCCGTCTGTCCATTCGCCCCCATTCGTCCGCCCGTCTGTCCATTCGTGCCCCCATCTGTCCATTCGTCCGCCCGTCGTCCATACTCGCCGCACGTCTGCCTTCGTCCGTCCGTCGTCCATGTCGTCCCCCCGTCTGTCCAATTCGTCCGACCGTCTGTCATGTCGCTCCGCCGTCCTGTCCATTCGTTCACGGCCGTCTGTCGCATTCGTCCGTTCGTCCTGTTCATCAGTCGTCCGCTCATCTGTCCATGTCCGTGTCCCCGCCCGTTCTGTCCATGATCGTCTACCCCTTCGTCCATTCGTCCGTCCGTCTGTCATTCGTCCCCACCGTCTGTCCATCTCGTCGCGCCGTCCGTCCATTCGCTACCCGCTGTCCATCTCTCCGCTACCCGTCTGTCCATTCGGCCGCGCGTTCTGTCCAGTTCGTCCGCACCGTTCCTGTCCATGTCGTCGTCCGCCCCGTCTGTCCATGTCGTGCGTTTCGACCATTCGTCCGCTTCGTCTGTTTATGTCGTATTCCCGCCCGTGCTGGTCCATTCGTCCGCGCCGTCCTGTCATTCGTC